TAGCCTCTCCTTGTGAATCGCAATCCTTCCCCTTGTGTTGTTGAGCTAAATCTTTGTCTTTTTCTCTCCTAATCTCTATCTCCTACTCATTTTTCTACTTGGTTGCAAATCGCAACCCATATCTTGATGATGTGTAGTGTTTCAGGGTTGATTCATGCTTGTTTTGTCCTTTCTAGCATCACTGTGTGAATCACAATCTGTCTTCTTGGGTTGGTAAGCTCAATTCTAGTCTTTTTCACTAATAATCTCTCTCTCCTACTCAAAATTTAACTTAGTTAAAAAACGCAGCCCTTGGGTTGATGTCAACAGGTAATAGGGGGATGAAGGATGTTGTTAGCATTGTCATTTTGTTGTTCTAAGTGCTTGGGTGAGCTGCGATTCACCCCATGATACTTCGCTGATCATTCCCCTGGGTAGATTGCTGTTGGCATTGTCATTTTGTTGTTCTAAGTGCTTAGGTGGGCTGCAATTCACCCCATGATACTTCGCTGATCATTCCCCTGGTTAGATTGTTGTTGGCATTATCATTTTGCTGTTCAAGTGCTTGGGTGGGCTGCGATTCACCCCATATGATACTTCGCTGATCATTCCCCTGGGAAGATTGTTGTTGGCATTGTCATTTTGCTGTTCTAAGTGCTTGGGTGGGCTGCGATTCACCCCATGATACTTCGCTGATCATTCCCCTCGGTAAATTGTTGTTGGCATTGTCATTTTGTTGTTCTAAGTGCTTGGGTGGGCTGCGATTCACCCCATGATACTTCGCTGATCATTCCCCTGGGTAGATTGTTGTTGGCATTGTCATTTTGTTGTTCTAAGTGCTTGGGTGGGCTGCGATTCACCCCATGATACTTCGCTGATCATTCCCTGGGTAGATTGTTGTTGGCATTGTCATTTTGTTGTTCTAAGTGCTTGGGGGGGCTGCGATTCACCCCATGATACTTCGTTGTTCTTTCCCCTGGGCAGTTTGCTGCAAACCATGTTTTTTTGTTGTTCTAAGTGTTTGGGTGTGTGGCGGTATACCCCGTAATACTTCGCTGTTCGTTCCCCTGGTCAGTTTGCTGCATAGAAATGTTTTATGTTCATTGTGCTTCTGCTTGCGAACTAGTCGAAGTCAAAGTAGTTTCGTTTGTAGGAACCTGAACTTCCCTGTTGGGCCCAACATAGTTTAGAACTGTTTTCTGTTCATTGT